TTCCTTTCCACCCCAAACAGGAAGTGCCTGCCACTGTCCAGAGGAGTAGCCTGGTCATTTATAAGGAGCCTTCCCCTGCCAAAGTGGAGCCTGCGGGCGGCTTGCTCTCTAAGAAGGCGGGAGGAGCAGTGAGTGGCACCTCCTGGAGGGTGGTGATGGTACTACTGCCTGTGGCACCTGGCACAGAACAGGCTGTCAGCTTTTCAGCAAACACTCACCAAGCACTTGGGAGACTAGGAAAGTCCTAGATAAGGCCTTTGAGCTTGAGGACTTTACAGATAAGTGAGAGAGACAAGTCATGACATTTCCCCCTCATTTATTTATTCATTTGTTAAATACAAGGTTCTTCTCCTCCTCTTCTTCCTTCTCCTTCTTTTTGGTGCCTCCTGTTTCAGGCACTGAGGGGTTGGTTCAGAGATGAACCGTGCTACCCAACTAGAGAACAAATTTGTCCCTAGTCAGGTAGGCAAGCCTGGGATGATGTGGTACAATGGTGAATTCCACAGGCTTTCACACCAGAGGCAAGAATCACTGTGGTCTGTGTTTCACTCTGGTAAGGGAATTACCGCTCCCTGCTCCCTCTCCTGTCCCCTACAGTCTATTCTCAAAACAGCAGCAGGAGCAACAGTCAAAGGATTGGAAAGCCAGCCAGGGAATGAAGGCAATTCAAAAATTGTCAACAGTGTTGAAGAACAAGATTTAACAGTACCTCTGAAGATCTAGTTGGGTTTATTCAGTGATTCACGAATCACCAGAAGGGTGCTCAGATGAGTTATACAAAATAGTGGGGGGGGGGGGTTTATAGGAAGAAAGAAGAAAGGACTAAATTAAGAGTGGATTATTTCAAACAAAGATGCCATACCTTCGAGCAGCGATTTTCAACCTTTTTCATCTCATGGCACACATAAACTAATTACTAAAATTCTGAGGCACATCAAAAAATATATTTTTTTTTTCTGATCTGACAAAAAGGTAAAATTTTGATTCTTTCACATCAAATGGCTATTGTTGTGTTGGCTGTTGTCATTTTTCTTTTTAATTTGACAATCTAAGGAAAAAGAGGTTAGTGCTCTGACTAAATAGTCAGGTATTGCATGTTTAAAAAATTCTTGCGGCACACCAGTTAAAAACCTTCAAAACTGCTGCCCTAGAGGAAGGCAGGGGGTGTTATGGGGCAGACTGTCTCACTAGTGTGGATCAGGAAATTCCAGACTGATTGGTTTAAAATTCCACCCCTGGGAGAGGCTGAAATTACAATTAGATTTGTTATTAAGTTTTGGTTTGGTGCTGAGGGTTAGCAAAAGTGACTCCATTGTGCCGTTATTTGTTTGTGTCTTTTAAAAACAATAGCTAGAGGTCTCTACCAGCCATAGCCTGGGGCTGTGGTAGGCAAACTGGTGCTCGAGAGCCACATGCGGCTCTTTGGCCCCTTGAGTGTGGCTCTTCCACAAAATACCACGGCCTGGGCTAGTCTATTTTGAAGAAATGGCATTAGAAGAAGTTTAAGTTTAAAAACTTTGGCTCTCAAAAGAAATTTCAATCGTACTGTTGATATTTGGTTCTGTTGAGCCAAATTTGGTCTGAGTTTGCCGACCACTGGCCTGGGGGAATGAAGGGAGGAGTGAGGTTCCTGGAGACCAGTAGCTAGAGTCAAAGATGGAAACGGGAGCCCTGGAGAAGACAGCTGCTGCCTGAGACCCTACACCACACTCCCTGCCCCATGGCAGAGAGGGTAGGGAGAAATAACCCTAGTTTCTCATTTTTTCCTACCACCTTCTTGCCCAATGGGACACCCATTGACTGGTTCTAGTTGGAAGGTATTGCCTGAAGGAATCTCTGAAACTGAAACAGAGCCTGCAGGGTCAGCTCTCCCTGTGAGGACTTAAGGGCTAGACCAGTGGCAACAGGCCCAGGACTGAGATCTTCCCCAATACATTCTCCTAAAGCTGATGTGAAAATGTACCTGCTGTCTTCCCTAAATTTGCAGACTAAGGCCATGGTAGGGGAAGCAGGATCTTGTGTAAAGAATGACTGGGTGGCCGGCTGGCATGGCTCTACCAGGAGGTCACAGGTTTGATCCTGGGTTGGGGGGGTGGGGAGGGGTGGGGGAGGTGGTGATTGTAGGAGGCAGCTGATCGATGATTCTCATCATTGATGCTTCTATTTCTCTCTCCCTCTCCCTTCGTCTCTGAAATCAATAAAGATGTATATTTAAAAAAAGAATGGCTGAATTATGTTGCAGATAATCATCCCTAAGCAAAAGTTTGGAAGGCAAGAGGGCACAGGATTCAATCTGTGAGTCCCTGTGTGGTGGAGCAGGACCCGTGGAAAGAAGCCCCAAAGCCGTGCAGACCTGGGAGGAGTTCCCAGTTTAAAGTTTGGGAGACCAGGGATATTGCAAAAAGAACACTGCCCTTGGTTCAAAGGCCTAGATTTAAGTTCTGCCTCTGCCCTTAATTGGCTGTGTGAACTAAAGAATTCCATCTTCAGTGTTCTCGTCTACAAAATGTGGATAACAGCAATATCTATATTTCATAGGGCATCCAGAAGATTAAAAGAGAGGATGGATATAGAAAACGAAATGTCACTTGTTTGATTAGATTCCTCAGAAGTTCCCCATTGTTTGAAATTGAATATCCAAAATCCTTCACAAGGCACATACGGCTCTTCAAGCTGTGATTTCTGCCTACTGCTTTCACTTCATTTATAATCACTCCCCACCCCTGCAACTCTACAGAACAGCCAGACTAATCCACTTGCAATTCCCAGAACTTTGCTCCCTCTTAGTCTTTGCAAATACAGCCCTTTGCATGTGGAGCAAACTATTTCTAATATACACCCCCCCCCCCCCCGGTGAATTCCTGTTCTTTCTTCAAAGCTCAGTTTGGGAGATATCTCCTGCAGGAAGTCTCCCTTAATTCCCCCTCGACCCTTCCACCCTCCACCCTTCGGTCCCCTAGATGCTCTTCCTTTGTGTTTTCAGAGCACCCTTTGCATCCTAGGGTGCATGTTTAGTAGTTGATTGGAATCACAGGTTTATGCTGTCCCTGCTAGGAGATTGCAATTCCTGAAGGGCAAGGACTGCGGTGCTTCCTATTTCCTATCGCTAGGGCCTTCCAGGACTTAACACCTAGCAATCATCATGAGATGGCAATTGACTGAAGAATGCATGCATGCATGAATAAATATATTGATGAATGGTGGTACAAACTTAAAGAATTGATGATGAGCAATACTTTCTATATTCTTATCCTTTAAAAAAAAAAATCCCAATTCTCACCCTGGCTGGTTTGACTCAGTGGTTAGAGCATCGGGCCTACAGATCAAAGGGTCGTAGGTTCAATTCCCAGTCAAGGGCATGTACCCAGGTTGCAGCCCTGATAGGGATGTGTGAGAGGCAATGAATCCATGGGTCTCTCTCACCTTTATGTTTCTTTTTTCTCTTTCTCTCCCCCTCCTCCATCCCTTACACTTCCCTCTGGAAATCCCCAGGTGAGGGGTTCCCACTGCTTTCAAAGTAAAGCACAGACTCTCATGTACTTTACAAGGTCTCAGCTACTTTTCTGGCCTCATCTCCTACCATTCTACCCTCACGAGCAAACTCTGAACATACTGACTTACTTGTTTTGCAACTATGTTGTCCAAAGCACTTTCCCTCATTTGGTCAACTTCTGCTCACCACTTATGGTTTGCCTCAGATGTCACCTTGCCCTCGGGGAAAATGTCCTTGCATGCTCACTGGGCGTTCACAGTTTTGTCTCACACTTTAATAGAGTTCCAGTTTCCTTTAGGCAGGACAGACATCGGTATCTGGTTACTAGGATTCAAATTTCCCGTTGGCCATTTACTTGCTGTGTGACCTCAAGCAAGTGAATTCTGCTCTTTCTTCTGTTTCATGGAGATAACATTTCATCAACCTGCTGCAAGAATTAAATGAGATAATGTAAGGTGCCTGACCATTAGAGTTTGATACTACAATAGCATTGAAGACTAAAGCTCTGCACCCCATCCCGCCTCATCCTCAGCGTTCAGAGCGTTCAGTCTGTTCCTTTTTTTTCTTCTTAAAGTTTGTGTGATTTGATTTTAATACACACGTTTGTTTCCGTATTACCTTGTAGTCTTTTTTTTTTTTTTTTTTTTTTTTTTTTTTTTTTTTTTTTTTACTTGACACGTTTACTTGAAAACTGGGAGGCGATTAGGTACGGTTTTCCTAGTCTCCGATCACGGTTTTCCATAGACTCCGATCGCCCCCAGGCGGCCCAAACAGCCTGCAGCCCATGCCTAGCAACTTGGGGCATACCATTCGAAAACTTAGGGGAAGAAAGTCCATTTCTTTTCTTTAAAAAATATTTTATTGATTTTTTTTTACAGAGAGGAAGAGAGAGGGATAGAGAGTTAGAAACATCGATGAGAGAGAATCATCGATCAGCTGCCTCTTGCACACCTCCTACTGGGGATGTGCCCGCAACCAAGGTACATGCCCCCTTGACCGGAATCGAACCTGGGACCTTTCAGACTGCAGGCCGACGCTCTATCCACTGAGCCAAACCGGTTTCGGCAGAAAGTCCATTTCTAACCAAATAAATCTGTGTTCCCAAGGTCCCTCCTCTTTTGCTTCCTAGCCTCCAATTCTATCAGACCCAATAAAAGTAGGAACCAGGATTGTCATTTAGGACAAGAGAGAGCAGGTTCATCTTCCTTCCCCCCCATCCTGATCGCGGCGTTGGTACTTTCTCCTCAATTCCCTCTCAATAATGGTATGGTCCGAGGAGGGGGAGGACAGCTGGGGATTCCGACGTCCTCAGGGTTTGGAGGCTAGAATCACCCCTTCGGCCGTGACGCGATGGTCCCGCCCGCCGCCTTCTGATTGGCTGCCGAGGCCCCGCAGTCGTGCTCACCACCCGCGCTGCCCTCAGTACCGCTCCGGCCGCCGTGCCGCCTGGCTTCCGTACTCCTTGTTCTCGGCGGGCTGTGGGGGCTCGGCGCCGCGGCCGTTAGTCATGTCGGGTAGGTGATTCTCCCAGCGAGCAGCGGCAGCCGCGAGAGGGGTTTGGCAGGGTCGGGCCGTCTTCCCGCCCACCGAAGGGCCCCGAGGAAAAGCTCTCTCCGGCCCTGAGGGAGGCTGGGGGGTGGGGGCGCGGACGCGGCCGCCGCCATGTTGGACTGGAGGGACGCACGCTCCCAACGCTCCCCGCCTGCAGATCGCGGCGGGGGCGCCGCGGGCCCCCCGGTCTTCCGGCTCCGTCCTTGGAACCCGAGGCGACGTGCCGTTCCCGGGGAGGGTGTGTGAGTTGGGGGGCGGAGGCAGGAGGCTGCAGCCATCCCGGGGGCGGGGGGGAGCCCGTGAGTGAAGAGCATCCGAATGAGGGATCCGGTGCTTCTGGCTCTCCGCGCCTTCGCCTCAGAGCTTTCTGCGAGGCCCCGGGCCGGTCGTCTCTCCGCCTCGTACCTCAGTTTACCTAGTCACGAAGTGGAGCTGGGCCTTCGGACTCACCCACTCCCCAGGTGGAGGGCCTTGACGCCCTCGGAGCCCTTTCAAAAGGACGTTGCATTCCACGAAATACTCCTTGTCGTCATTCCCTCTGTCGTAACGAGTCGAATTCCAGTCGAGGGTGTTTGTAAGACATGCAGCTTCCTTTCCTCCCTGGTCTGTCTTCTCCCCTGTTCAGTTTCTTTAGGGGGGGAAAAAAAAAAAAGTCTCTTGCAAGACTTGAAAGGGAGCCTTTCCTATGATCGACAGGCAAACATAGACCAAAGAAAGAACGAACGCCTTCCACGAAGCATACACCCTCCCCCCGCCCCCATGTTGTGTAGAAGAGAAAAAGAGGCCTTGGTCTCTTTAGGACAGCGCAGCCAACTTAGGTCCTGCGAACCCAGGATATAAAGTCTGGGATATGGGTGTTCTCTTGCTTTAGCAGTCCTAGAATCAAGAGAACACGAGGTTGTCTATATCACTGGGTGCCTCACAGGCTGCAAAGACCCAGCTATCCACGTGCTAGAAACCATCGTGAGAGTAAGATACCACCTTTCAGGTGCAAAAGCAGAACAAAAAAGTCGAATAGTTGGGATGAAAATGACTGGTGGCAGTCTTTTACTTTTTTTTTTTTTTTTTTGTAAGGGAGAACCCGTTGGTATTCAAAATAAAAAACCCACACCCCCAGTAATCCAGTGTTGCAGGAAGATGGAAATGTGGTCAGAAGGAAGCTGTAGGCTAAGACGAAATGGTTGGAGAGGAAAATGATAAACATTCCTTAGATTAACATTGATGTCAGGAAGCCATAATATTTATCTTTTGGGGGAGGGGTCTTTTATCTCCTTTCAGTTTCTATGCAATCCTTGCTCAAACAAGAAATAATTTCTTACCCTAAAGTAGACATTGGTACGTCTTACCAGATGCATAAGTGGAATACAGAAGTAGATAGAAGTATACCCTCAGGGAGGGTATGTGATCTATTCATCCACGGTTAAAAAAATATTCTCCAATCATGGAGAAATTCACCAGCTTTCAATGAATACAGTGCTCATTAAAAACTTGGCCTGGCCTGACTTTTAACATAATTGTTGGTATAAAATGATGGCTTAATTTTATAGGAGTAGGTAGCTTTTATGGAAAATTCAATTTTAGAGGTTTACCATTTGTAAAATCCAAGATTTTCAGCACCTCAAGTGTGTGAACTGGTTTACATTAGTACTAAATCTTTAAATTACCAAGACACCAGATTTTTGTCACTTTGTATTTTCAATATTTTTAACATCAACATTGGTTTTCACATGTGAAAATGATTTTAAAATTGCTCACGTCTAAATCAATCAAGCTATCGATAGAATCTTTGTGATTAGCATCAATCACAATTATAATGTGTATAAATACTTTTGACTTTGTAAGATATAGGAGTAATGCTTTTGACTTGTTCTTTGGTGAATATTGTTAGTAAATTTAATAGTGAACTCCCCATAAACAACTAATGGCATTAGGTTTAGTTAAGTCCTTTAAACATTCCAAACTACACGTGTAAGTTTAATCTATTAGGTTGACTCAACCACACCATATGCCTGACAGTGTAAACGTCTAAAACCTAACAAAATATAAGCACTTGTGTAACTAGTAAGTCAAAATTATAAATATTGTCAGGCTCTCAGACATTCAAATACTGTTTACAAATGTGAATTATCTAACACCTTTCAAGTTAAAATTACAAATCTAATATCCGTTACACATATAAAAATTAAAGGTCAAGTTCTCATTTTGGCAATATGGCAGGCCAAGACAACTTGAAAATCCTCTATAAACACCCAAAAGCGTAAGAAATGACAAAAGGGGATAGGAGAAGCCCCAGCTACCAGACATGAAGTAATAACTATGATAGTAGGTACTACAGCTAACTTGTGTTGCCCTGGAGAGGAGGGTATGGATCTCGTCATTTGGAAACAATTCCATTGCTCAGTAACTAAAACTAAGAACAGGAGACAAGCCTTGAGACCATTAGAGCTAGGTAATGGGAACTAAGAACCTTACATAAGACTTGGCGGTTTGAAGGACTGTACCTTTGGTAAAAGAATGAACTGGAAAAAACTTGTACCTACCAGCATAAGAGGTAGCAAGAATGCTGGAACCTGAGTGAAAAAGTTCTGAGGATTCGTAAACTGGAACTTGTTCTAAAGACAATTTGGATGTGTATTTAGGTTAGTTATGGGGCCCAAGAACCTTAAACCAGGAAATCAAGATAAAATTGGTTCTGGGTTGGTAATAACCTTGGGGCTCCTGGTATAGTGGAACCTCAGTTCTCAAATTTAATTTATTCTGGAAGGCAGTTGGAGAAGCCATTTGTTTTTGAGAACCAAATCATTTTTTCCTCTTTAGAAATATGTAATGCAAATTGAATTAGTTCCAGATGCCAAAATGATTTTGTTTTAACCTTTCTTATATACAGTACATGTCTATTGTACTTTTAAAGTATAAATAAACACTTTAAAAACAAAAAGGACATGAAATATAAATGAAGATTTAACAAAAGGGAAAGGAATGTATAGTAAAATAATGAAAAATTGCCCAACTGGGGTGGCTCAGTTGTTGAGCATTGACCTATGAATCAGGAGGTCATGGTTTGATTCCTGGTCAGGGAGCACATGCCTGGGTTGTGGGCTCAATCCCCAATGTGGGGTGTGCAGGAGGCAGCTGATCAAGGATTCTCATCATTGATGTTTCTATTTTTCTCTCCCTCTCCCTTCCTCTCTGAATCAATAAAAAATCCTATATAATAAAAGCATAATATGCAAATTGACCAAACAGTGGAATGCTATGATGTGCACTGATCACCAGGGGGCAGATGTTCAATGCAGGAGCTGCCCACAGCCTGCAGGCACCAGGCTGGTCACAGCAGGCGCTAATGGGGGTCCCTCTGATAGCCCCTCTGGTCACCCCATAAAGGGAGGCCACCTGCTGTGGTGGGGGGGTAGGGCCGGCGAGCAGGCAGCACCAGGCTGGCCAAGGTTGGTGTAAGGAGGGGGGAGCCCAATTACCCCACCAATTGCCCCACAGATCGGTCCTGATTGACAGCCAGGCCTAGGGACCCTACCTGTGGATGAATTGCGGGCACTGGGCCTCTAGTAAAAAATAAAAAAATGAAAAGTTTATTAACAAGCAGCAGCAAAAGCAAAAAACATGAAAATATTCACAGCAAAACATTTTGAGATTTCAACAGTTGTACACTACACTGACTCATATTTCCGCATTCTCTCCTTTCTTTGTCAACTGAGAGATGCATGATTGATTGTACAGGTATCAGCATGAAAGAGTTGTCAGCTGATGAGTGAATTGTTCAAAGTGGGAAAAACAAGATTCCACTGTAATGTAAATTGAATTAATTAGTTCCAGACTCCTAAATGAATCCGTTTTAACCTTATATACAGTACATGGCTTTATATACTATACATGTTTAATGTACTGTTTATAAATACTTTCATTTTTTAATTCTCATCTGAGGATTTTCTTCCATTGCTTTTCAGAGTATTATAGAAGGGAGAAAGGGTGTGGGGGGAAACACGCACGTGCCTTTTGGGGGCAGGGTGCGAACCTGCATCCGAGGTATGCTCTAACCCAGGGGTCGGCAACCTTTAAGACATAAAGAGCCACTTGGACCCGTTTTCGAAGGAAAAAAAACCTCGGAGCCGCAAAACCATTGCGACATAAGTGATACAGCTCCCCACCCCGCCCTGCTTTCTGCCCTGCTAGTGCCGGACCTCTGGGAGCCGCAGCAAAGATTCAAAAGAGCTGCATGTGGCTCCAGAGCCGCAGGTTGCCGACCCCTGCTCTAACCACTGAGCACAGTGGCCAAGCAACTCATTGATTTCAGAGGGGAAGGGATAGGGGGAGAGATAGAAACATCAATGATGAGAGAGAATCATTGATTGGCTGTCTCTCACATGCCCCACATGGGGATGGAACCTATGACCCACCCTGACTGGGAATTGAATGGTGACCTCCTGGTCCATAGGTAGATGCCAACCACTGAACCACACTGGCCAAACATTTTTTCTTAAATTTATCAAATCACTCCCTATCATCCTTAAAGGAGTCACTTTTAGTACTCATTCTAGGAGTGTCTCTCAGGTTAGCATGCAGCATCTTTGCTGTTCCACATATCACTGCCTCTGAAATGCTGTACTGGCTGACTAACTGCTTTTCTTTTATCCAAGGCAACACAATAGTTTTTCTACCTTTTCAGTTGCCTGTGGCCATTGTTTCTTTCACACCCTTAGTAACATTAGCACTTTTTAAAAATAAATTTTTATTGATTTCAGAGAGGAAGGGAGGTAGATAGAAACATCAATAATGAGAATTATGATAGTCTGCCTTCTGCACGTCCCCTACTGGGGACTGAGCCCTCAACCCTGGGCATATGCCTTAACTAGGAAATGAATTGTGAACTCCTGGTTTATAGATTGATGCTTAACCACCGGGCAGCATTAGCACTCTTGTGTTTTATGTTTTATGATTTCCCCAGCAA